ACATATTTTATTTTGCAATCCAGATAATAGAAAGCTTGCTGGTGCATTTTTGAGTCCGAATGGCATTCGAGTAAACTCATAATGTCCATATTCAACATTAAATGCCGTCTTAGGTATAGAGTTTGGATGCATATCTACTTGATGGAATCCAGATGCGAGATCCAATATTGTGAAATAATTGCTTCGTCCTAATTTATCCAATAAATCTGAAATGTTAGGTATTGGGTATCTATCGTCGATAGTTTTCTCGTTGACTTTGCGATAATCCACCACGATTCTCCATTTCTGTATGCCAGAAGCATCTTTCTTTTTTGGCACTATCCATACTGGTGAGGACCACGGGCTACACGATGGTTGAATTATATGCTTTTCTACAATACAATACAATAATAATGTTTTTGTTAATTTTATAGTCTCTAGGGCATATACAAGGGATTTGAACATATCAGACCACCTCGCTCTTTGTGCAGAAATAACTTTAAAGCATTCATTAAAAGATACAGAACAGGTTCATAAAAGCCGACCAATCACAGAGCAGGGCATTTTCAATCTGTATGGGTTAGTTGATTCCATGGATTGGGATTTTGTAAACTCGGGATTAATGTCAACTGATGACAAATTCTCTCTTTTTGTCAACCTTCTCAAAAATAATATTGAATTAGCTTTTCCGGAAATTGAAATCACTCATAATAAAAAATACATTAAATGGTATAATGATAGTCTGCGCGAACAGAGAGAACTATTGCAAATTGTTTCACAAGCAGCCAAACAGAGGAATTGTCCTATTATGGTACAATTAAAACAGTCTCTAAAAAGAAATTACCAAATTTCCATACGAGAAGCCAAAAAAAGGGCTCATTTTTCCTATCTACAAAAGCATAATTTCAATTCGAAAACGATATGGGAGTTGGTGAGAGAAAACTCTAATATCACAAAACAAAAATGCATTCAAAATAGCAACAATTTCTCTCCAAATGACTATAATCTTTATTTTGCTAATATAGCAGCCCAAATTGTTAGTAACTTACCTACAGCTATAAATACTCCACAATATTATGTAAACAATTTTATCAAAAAAATTGGTATATCCGACACAGTTTTCAATTTCACTCCCAAATCAATTAATGAAGTTAGAGACATAGTAAAACAATTAAAAAACAAAAAAAGCAAGGATATTTATGGAATGAACTCTAAAATAATAAAATCACTTGTTAATATTATTATCTATCCTCTTACGAAGCTGTTAAATTTGTGTATAAGAGATGCAGTCTTTCCATCAGTTCTAAAAATCTCCAGGGTTGTGCCAATATATAAAATAGGTGAAATGGAAGATTTGAGTAATTACCGTCCTGTATCAATTGTCCCAGTTTTCTCCAAGATTTTCGAAAAGGCACTCAAAAATAGAATAACAAATTATTTTGAGAGTCAGAATTTATTTAGTTCTAAGCAGTTTGGCTTCAGGAGTGGGAAGTCTACTACTAGTGCTATCAATTTGTTCATAGAAAGGGTTAATGAGGGGATTGAAAATGGGGAATATAGTGGGGCTCTGTTCTGTGATTTAAGCAAAGCCTTCGACTGTGTCTCCTCTGATCTCCTTCTGATAAAATTGCTACAATACAGATTTGCACCTGAAAGTATGGGCTTATTAGAGTCGTATCTTACAGGAAGGTCGCAAGTAGTAAGCGTAGCGGATAAAAGCTCATCCTCTATCAAACTAGAATATGGTGTTCCTCAAGGGTCAGTGCTGGGACCACTGCTCTTCCTGATCTACATAAATGATTTGGAGGGGTGTGATCCCAGTTCTGACCTGATATTGTTCGCTGATGATACGACTCTGATTAGAAGGGCCAGGAATTTTGAAACACTCAGACGGAGTCTAGAGGAGACACAGTTGATTGGTTCTCAGCGAATAAATTGAGTATGAATGAATCAAAAAATAGCACCCTAGTAATATCCACGAGGGAATTTGAATTGCTACATAATGAGCCAGTTACGTTCCTGGCCCCGTATTCTTGACTGCCCGGGAAGGGAGAGTTCCTGGGAACGTTCCCAGGAAAGCTAGTTCACTTTCGCTCCCGGGAGCTAAGAGGTCGTATTCTTGAATACCCACAAGCGCTCACAATGTTGCCGCCTATGAGAGTGTCAATCAAACTAACCAAAACGTGTTTCAAGCGAAAAAAGGAAGAGGAAGTTATCTAACTCAATATCTAACCCCACGTTTGATATTTATTATTGTCTATTTTTCAAAACTTTGAAAGCTGAAAGGCATTTGGCTTTGATAATATATTTATTTTTAACTACCCTATGAACATCATCGTTGTAAGTTCTCGATAACTGCATTCCTTTTATGAGATTTTTTATACATGAGGGAAATTTCCGCATAATTTTCTGCAGCATAAATTCCTTATTCCTGCTCCTGAACTTCATCTGGCTCATCAACTTCTGGAATACTGTGTTCAATGCATACCTACCTTTGTAGTTTTGGTTAAAGCCGAGACTCGCCTTGGAGCGGTAACATACGGGAGTAACCATATCCACTATTTCGTGGCATACATTTTTGCTCACTCTAAAAAATTTCACGAATTTCTGGCCAATGGAAAAGGCAGAACATCCCATCCTATTTCCTTTGCTTCTGAAGCATTTTTCATGTCTTCTTGGATTATGTTAGGTATGTTATTCAAGATAATCTCAATAAAATAATCCACATCCACATTCATTTTAATGAAAATACACAACGAATACAAAAACGAAAAAACCTTGAATTTGAAAGGAGGAAACGAAAACGTCAAGCTTGAAAACAACGTCAAGTCTTGAGGTTAGAGACCTTGACGGGAACTCGTTTTCTCTTGGGTGAGAGGATGGGAACTTCAGAATTCCCGGGAACTTTCATCTCACAGTCCCATTTTCAAGAATATTACATGTACCTTTTTGAGGTGAACCACGTCCACTTCCCGAGTAAGTTCACTCCCAGAAATTCAATGGGGGTGAGTATTGACGCAAAGTTGACATGGATTCCACATGTCAATAACATATGTGCCAAAGTGGCGTCAGGAGTCTATGCACTCAGAACAATGATGGAGAGTGTTTCCGAGCAAGCAGCACGGGCCATCTTTTTTGCTTGTGTCCAGTCAAAAATATCATATGGAATTCTGGTCTGGGGACATGCAGCAGAAGCGCAAAGAGTCTTTGCACTTCAGAGGAGGGCGATTCGAATATTGTGTCATAGAACTTATCGAGCGGAGTGTAGGAATGACTTTGTGAAATCAAAGGTATTAACAGTGCCTTCCTTATATGTCTATCATTGTCTGATTCATGTTAGGTGTAATGTCAATGATTACCAGACCCATGAGGACATACACCAACATCTCACCAGGAATAGGGACAACCTCTATACAAACTTTCATAGAATTCATAAAATAAAAACGGGAATTTCCTTCTATGGCCCCAAATTCTATAATGTGTTACCAACCTCCATTAGAATGCTAAATTTGAATTGTTTCAAAAATAAAATTAAAAATTATTTAATTAAGAAAGCTTTTTTTAGTATAGAGGAATATACCACCAATAAGTTTAATGATTTAGAGGATTGTTAGTTAGTAATATTGTTCGTAAAGGTTCCTGAAAATTTGCCACTACTATATATTTGACTTGTGTAAACTTTGTGAAGTAATGCACCAATAAATGATTTGATTTGATTTGATTTGATAACATAAATGTATATTATGCAATGATCATGTAATGATAGCCATTAATACACGAGCATGTTGTAGGATACGAAACGAGCCGCAGGCGAGTTTCTTATATAACATGCGAGAACATGATAGGTGGTCTCGAGTTTGTTTCGCTCTCATCAGTGCAACCTAATTGAAAGCAACATCAACGAAGCCTATGCCTCAGAAACTTTTTTAAACCCAATGGAAATGTAATCTAAAGTTAAGAAATAAACTTAAAACAAAACTAATTAGTTTGCAAATTGATCATGTTTCCAAGTAGGTCTGAAAATATGAGGAGCTGCATATTAGTTATTTATACACCAAGTGAGTTAAATGAATGTTTATTCATGAGAAGAAAGTTTAACCCACGAGCCCTGGCGAGTGGGTTAATTTTCTTCGAATGAATAAACATTTTAACTCACGTGATTTATACAAAATTTTATCCCATTTTGATAGACATTTGAAAAATAAGGTATTTAATAGGAATCAAATTATGAAAAGAATTCATTTAGTGGTTATGAAAGCGCTAATTATTGAAATTGGTGGTTGCTAGGGTATAACTAGTTGTTTGTTTGTATTTGTAGCAGATTTTTATACTAGCAGAGTGACTTAAAAGACCGAGAGTGAGTTAAAAATATTTTATGTCATACCAATACATTATTGTGTTTTTATACCTTAGATACCATCTACATAATTCATTACTTTATGCCCGTGCGGGCATAAAGTACACATTATGGCCCGCGCGGGCATAAAGACGCAAAAAACAGTTTTTGATTAACTTATTCTTTATTAAAAAAATATAAATTTACGCTTATAAACATATTATTTTTTGTACAACTGTCAAAAAATGATGATGTTTGCACACTGATGACAATTTGCGAAGTGACACTTTTTTTCCAGGTATTTATTATTCACAATCAACTGGTATGACATAAAAGTTTGTATGCACCACGGGTACTAATAGATATATACCAACGGGCGACTAACGAACCCTCGGGACAGAGTCACTCAGATGATAAACGTCTACTTACCTTTGTTATTATGCGTTCAATAATGTCGTTTTTAAACGTCAAAATGGGATAAAATATATTATTTAAAACAAATAATCACTCGGGTTTGTTAATTCTCCATTAATTTACAATCAAGTTCAATTAAAGCTTAACGACGGAAAGCACTGGCGAATGTGAACTGTTATTTTTAAGAACATCGAATACCTTTTACCTAAGTTTTATTTATTTAGAAAACCCTTCACTTTGCAAGTAACTTATTCGTTTTTTGATTTTTTAGGTATATTCTGTGGTAAACGACACAGTGGAATTGGAAATTTATAGAAGCTCCTCCAAAAGTTTGTCACTCAACCAATTTATGCTGAATGAAGGTTATGCCGAACCGTCTGTACCTAGTTTTCTATCAAGGGTAAGTTTCAAAAACTCACTATTATTCCACAAATAGTAAATTTTAAAGACGTTTAAAAATTATTCAAAAATGTCAAAATAATTTTTTTTCTTCACATAGACCACCTTTAAATCTATAATTGTAGGTAGTATCAGGAATGTATTTATTTTTTTGTTCATCAAGCCATTTTTTCATCACCTCCACCTGAATTCTACTTTGTACATTTCCTTGGTGCGTTGGAAACAATTCTAGTTTCGTCTGCGTAAAATGTAATTTTTAAATACATATTCTGTTATATTCAAGCAAAACCACGACATCCGTATGACAATACTGGGCTCTGATAATCCATCAGAAGAAGCCGTCAGGCTGTCTAGGGGTACGAGCGTCAGTTACGCCGATTTTCCTGATCCTGAACTGCGCAATACGCGTCGTATATATCTGAAAGGTCCATTCAGTCCTTTTGAGTACCAACTGTACTCGTGCACCTATTTGGGCCAGGGTAAACCCGTTAGCGTAGAAGGCACATCCGTGAATGCTGTTTTACTGGATACGGAGCCAGACAATCCACATTCCAGGTTAGTATTAAACGAATAATGTGTTTATGAACTTCTTATTTAGATAAATGGCTGCGAAATAATGTTGAGGAAAAAAAAAACAGAAATTGTCTTTCTTGTATCTGAAAATCACACAAACACAATAAAATGACACTAAAAATGCATCGCCTCAATATACTAAATAAATTATAATAAAATATTTTCAAACTTGTTCAAATTCATCATTTATCCTCAGTCGTATCAATTGAGTCTTCTTCTTCATCAACATCAATATCTTTTTCCTCTTCTTCTTCAAACTCTATTTCTTCATCGGTCTCCTCGTTCATATCACAAAAGACTCCATAAGAAATTTTATTTCCAGTATTTTCATTTTTATGAGATACTGTTTCCTCATTGACACTTTCTTCAGTTGGACTAGTATTATCACTGTATGAAAAGGATATGGACATTGAGGTGGAAGATTTATTTTTTGAAGTAGTATTTCCGGGTGAACTGGATATCATACTAGGACTAGCAGCATAATAGCTCACATTTACTATTTGCGAATGTAAGGCATTCATTTTGCCTGCTATTTCATCATTATGTTGGCAACATTTGCATTTGTCTTCCTTATCGAGCTTGTTACATAATATCATCAAGTCATCGGAGCCAATAGGCGTGGCTTTTTCAGGTTCAGGCTGTCTGAAGTGCTTGTAACACCACGTCATGACACACATAAGCAATAGGATTTTTGAAATTACTGTAATAGCGAATAAAGCTATTAAAATAATCGTTATTCTCAGTCGTTTTTTGTTAATGCAGGACCAATCTCCTATTTGTATGTTGCATAAATGGATCTGCCCAACATTTGGTTCATAAATTTCTTCATCTTCTGTGTTACTGGTCCATTCTTCGTTGCATATACATTGGCCATCTTCAGTAACATTCCCATAATGACAAATTGCATTTAGCTTCATTAATTGATTGATATTTGACTGTTTTGTTTGGAGATTTTCTAAGTCTTCTTTTGCAATTTTTCTTTTTTGGTCAATACATTCGTTGGTGAATGGAGAATATGACGTGCATTTTGGAACTTTACGACACTTTTTACAGTCTGCGTTAAAATAACTAATTAAACCAGAGTACTTTATCAAACAATCAACAGGATTGCAATTCTTTCTGAAATCCAAATCGTTAGATTCACATTTGAAATTTCGCACTCTAGTATCAAATTTAACATCGGTGATAAGTTCTTTTTTCTTCAATTCGCTGCGATAAGAGATTTTTATGCTACAAACCCCTCGCCGATTGAACACATACAAATTTGGATAAATCAGAGTTAGATTTTTAACGTTCTTCGATGGTAAAACTCCCATATCGCCTCCAATGAGAGTCATAGAAGAACAGTCAATATCGTCCGGATCTAAAGTTTCACAGCATTTAACCATATTCACATACAAATCCAAATCGTCTTTGCAAATATTTTTCACGGTAATGTAAAATATAATGGCAATATCATCTTCTTGGATAAATCCTATTCCGCTGTCGATAATTGAAATTTCAGCTGATATCGTATAGGCCAAAACTGCCTGCAAAACTACATTTATCCATAACATGAATGGGCAGTGAAAAAGGTTTTGAATGACACGCAAGTCTGTCAACGTCAATAATTAAAATTGAAATTATCAGGGCCGCCGCTACCATGTGTACGGTGTTTTCAAAACACACAGGCGGCCGATTGAAAGAGGTTGCCGTCGCCGATCCTAATGCAAAAAAAAACATGTGCAACGCCCTACACGTGGTAGAAGTGAAACTTCTTAAAAACTATCCCCCTTATACAACTTTTAATGTGTGTGTTTTTTTTTTAAAGATAAAAGACAAAATGACATTATGTTGGCAATACAATGTAAAATTGTCAATGCTTTCAAATTTTTTATGTAGAAAAGGCTTGTGTTGCCAACATAGTTACTAAATTTTTGACTGAAAAATTATCTTTAAAAAAAAACAAACTTTAGACAGCGTCTGAGTCGGGATAAAGACGGAAAAAAACACAAAAGAAAGTCACGCATCTGTAGTGACGTCACAAGGGTATCGGCGCTTGACAATAATAGGCAATCCTCTTTGCTTATAATCCTTGGTTTGTGTCAATCGTTCGTCGGTTGTCATTATTATTAGCTGTTTTTCTCCGTCTCTCTAGGTTATATCTTTCTTCCTCTCGATCGTGTAACGAAATTTCCCAAAACGTGACGCGTCTTTCAAATCACTCTCCATTCTCGTCCAATTGTTAAATTTCAAGCAAATTAAAATAAATTATATACCATTGGAAAAAAACATCAAATTCTCTCTAAATCAGTGCAAAATTGAGTTTGATAGCTCAAATAGTTTTTGAACTTTTAATCCAAATTTTGCCAAAAACTTCAAACTGAATTTGCTCAAACTATAAATCTGGGAATATTGTAAATTACAGGCCATTTAGAGCCTAATAAGAGCTACAAATGCTGGAAATTCCAATGCAATTTGCTCAACGGTTGCCGAGCAATTGAGGTTAGAATATTTTGAAATTAGAATTCAAATGGGGTACCCTTCCAGGAATGTTTATGGAATGTTCGTAGAATGTCCCATCAAGACGAAAATATTGCAATATATTTTTGAAATAATTCGTCTATTTTAGGAATGTTTATAAAATGTTTCAAAAATGTTCCAGAAATGTTTCAACAAGTTTTTTTGCTGAAAAATTTGCAATGAATATTTTAGAAGTGTTTATAAAATGTTCCAAAATTGTTTATAGAAAGTTTCAGGAATGTTTCGACATGTTTTTTTTTTTATTGGAAAATTTTTGAAGAATATTCGGGAAATGTTTATAGAATAATCGTAGAATGTTTCAGGAATGTTCCAGGAATGTTCATTGGAATTTTCTAATATTTCATGAGAATTTCGTGTAATTTTATAAGAATTTTTCAGAATTCCACTGAAATTCCTATTATAGAATGTTCAAAATGTTCATAGAATGTTCATAAATTGCACACCTGAATTTCCTGAAAATTCTTCGGAATTCCACTAAAAATTCAATTAGTTTCAAAGAAATTTTCTGTATTTTCACAGGAATTTTTTGGAATTCCATGTAATTTCATGAATTACTTTTTGATGGTTCATGAGTATTTCAGTTCATTTCACGTAAATTTTTTTGAAATTCCACTGAAATTCTGAGTTATTTCATAAAAATTCCTGGGAATTTTGCTGAAATTTAAAAAATAATTTCACGATTTTTTTTTTGAATTTATTTCACAGGAATTTCTTCAAATAGAACATCTCACACTTCTTATGGATTTCGGTCACCGACAGATTTTGTTGAAACTTTGGTATATTGTTTTAGAAGTCGAAACAAACATTTTCTTTTATGGCACCGACCTTGTAGCGATACAGGGTGATACTAAAAAATAAGGTCAAATTTAGAGATTAATAAGTTATCGAACTTTATATCATTCTTCTTCTTCAAGTGCCTTGTCCTCTAAGAACGTTGGCAATCATCAGCGCTATCTGTACTTTGGTCGACCGCTTTTCTGATAGACTTGTCGTGGTTTCGCCATACCAGTGACGCAAATTATTTAGCCAAGATATTCTTCGACGTACAGGGCCTCTGCTGCCTTCGATTTTTCCCTCGATTATGAGTTTGAGAAGTAAGTATTTGTCAATCCTGAGTATGTGTCCGAAGTAGTGTAACTTTCGCCTTTTAAGCGTAAACATACCTTCAAGTTCTGTGACATTCTCGTTAGCACATCTTCATTGCGCACTTTGTCTGTCCAAGAGATTTTTAACATTCGTCTATATGTCCACCTTTCAGAAGCCTCTAGCTTTTTACACATGACGTCGGAAGTAGAGAGCTGGAACTCTGTAACGAATAGAGATATTTCCTCTATCTCTATTGACGTCTCCTCTCTATTGATTTTGACAAGAAAGAAGAAGACAGCAAGTGCCATAGCGATAGGAATAACGATCCTTATCCGTTCCAGCTCAGGCCTCAATTCAATAATAAAGAATACTGATGACGTATCAACGTAGTTATCAAGTGCGAACGGAGAGCGGAGAGACCTGACTACACCACACGGACTTCATTTTTACAAATGATACTCGGGCTTGTTCATTCCTGGCATGTACCGCCTACATATTATCCCGGTCTTACCTTAAGAATACCTCCTCCAACCTGGTTCTTACTAATCACCTAGGGTTGCCACCTGTCCGGTTTTCACCCGGACTGTCCGGTTTTTTAAAGGTTTGTCCGGAGTCCGGACGCATGATGAGAATGTCCGGGAATATGGCTAGGCAGAAAAGTTCGTTGCTAACCATTCAACAAACGTTATCAGCGCAATTGATAAATATAAAAAAGTGGATTATGCGTGAAATTGTGCTTGTCTGCCTAATAAAACAAGTCCCTAATTATGACGTATATATTGTGTCGTTCTCCCTGTTCACTTACAAGTGTCTCTGTTTTTTTTAATTTTTAATAGACAGTAACTACAAAAGGTGGCGTCTAAAATTAGGTAGGTAGGTACCTTTTTTAATTTTTGTCTAAAAATTCATTTTTCCTACGACCACATACGAAAATGACAAAATCCGCACTAGCTGGTTCTTTGGAAAGCGCCAAATATCACACACATGCTGAAAGTACTTTCAATACGCTTGCTAAAAGTACTTTCCGCACGCGTGTGGAAAATACTGTTGACATTACTTGTGATTGACATCCCAATTTACTTTCAATACGTGGATTGAAAGTACTTTCAACACGTATGTTGAAAATGAAGAGAAATAAAATAAGAGAAAAGTGGTGTAAATCGGATTCTGGTCGTACACTCATACACTCGTGTGACTTTCGCACTCGGCTACCGCCTCGCGCGAAAAAACACTCGTGTGAAATTTGTCACTTTCTACACTCGTAATGTAATATACTATTACAGATATGAGTGTAAATTATGCCACAAAAAAAAGTTAACTTCGATTATGTACGGGTTTTCGGAAATCAAAAGGTGGCAACCCTAATCACCATCCATTTAGTTTTTTTGGCGTTCAATTTTAATCCAAATTCAGTAGCCAAATGATCAAGTAATACTTGAAGACCTTCCAGAGAATCAGCGACTAAAACCGTATCATCAGCATATCGAGGATTGTTAATGAACACGCCGTTGATAGAAATTCCCTCAGTGCAGTCTTCTAATGCTTTTTCAAATATTTTGTTCGGATAAATATCAAAAAGTAATGGTGAAAGGATGCATCCTGCTGGACACCTCTTTTTATACGTACTCTGTCAGACATTTGTTGGTCTACCTTGATTTGTGCAGTCCGATTCCAGTAGAGATTTGCAATTATCTTGAGTTCCCTATCATCTAGGCCTACATTATTGAGAATTTTCATAAGCTTCTCATTTTGTACCCTGTCAAACGCTTTCTCATAGTCTACGTAGCATGCGTATACATACAGGAACAGAAACATCTCTAGATCTTTGATCTAGCACTTGGATACTAAACAGGGCCTGTCTTGTGCCAAAACCGTTACGAAAACTAAATTGGGAATATTGGGATTCACCCGTAAAGGATTCGCACTTTGCGTATATTCTTTTATGGATGATCTTTAAAAAAATCTTGAGATAGTGGCTCATTAAGCTAACAAGCCCATAATCGCTACATCTTTTGGCGGAGCTTTTCTACGGAAGCGCCACAAATGTTGATATAAGTCAGTCAGAGGGAATGATGCCCGATCGGTAGACCATATTGAAAAACTTCACCAGACCACGTCATTGGTGAGTGCCCAGCACTCACGTGCGCGAGGTTCAAACATCTGGGCAAGTTGTATTGCTTGCCTGATGACGTCAAAAAGATGAAGCCAGGGTACCTGATTGGCTTTTCTAAGGACATAGGCCTCTCGTAGAACTCAGTGGGGCACGACGGGTCCACCATAGGAGACCTATGTGCACTACGGTCGCGGCCGCCCGTATTTATTCAAGCTTCACCATTGCGTGTAGTGACTCTTCATTTGTTAGGATTTCAATAAGTTCTGAATAGACACTATCTGGACCTGTCACTTTTCCGTTTTTGTATAACTGAATGGCGTGTTGGACTTCTTCCTTAGTAGTTATGTCTAGTCCTTCTCGTGAATACTCTTCAGGAATGTCCAATCTGTTCGGTATTCAAATTGGACCACCCTGTACATGCTAGAAATTAAAATAATATCTTTTATGGAGTACCTTTATATTATTTTTATTTTATCAGCTAAAGTTAAATTGCAATATTTCACCAGTAGATAATACAAAAAAAAAAACTTTGACCCAATTTTTCAGTATTACTGTATTACTACAAGGTCGGTGCAATGAAAGAAAATGCTTATTTCGACTTCTCAAATAATATACTAAAGTTTCAACAAAATCTGTCGGTGACCGAAATCCATTAATACATTATTTCATGTAAATTTCATACACTTTCTAGTTATTCCGTAGGAAGGGTTTTTTTTTTTCAATTCCACGGGAATTCCAAGCACCTTTAGAGAAATTTTCTGAAATGTCACATCTTTTTTCAAATTCCACTAAAATTCCAATTTACTCTACAGGAATATTGCTAAAGTATCAGGTAATTTCACAAGAACTTTTCGGAATTTCATGAGAATTTGATAATTTCACCTAAATTTTGAGTTATTCCACGGGAATTCCATGTAATTTCACGAGAATTCTTGGGACTTCAATAACAAATTTAAACAATTTCACAATTATGTAATTTACGGAAATTTTTGCGATTTTTTCTTTCAATTTTACGAGAATTCCAAGTGATACCAAAGAAATTCTTCAAACTGAAATTACCAGCAACTTTAAAAGGGATTTTTTTTTTGGAATTTTACAAGGATTCCATGTAATTTTAGAGGATTTTTTGTTGCGAAAATTTCACGTAATTTTACGTAAATATTTTAGAATTTCATAGGAATTTTCTGGAATTTCACGAGAATAACTCAAAATTCCGGAGGCATTGTTTCGAATACTCGGAAAATTTCGTCGTAATTTTTTCGCAGTATCACATAATTCCACTATAATTCTAAATAATTTCACAAGAATTTTTTAAAAAGTTGAATGAAAATTTAATGTCGTTTTTGTGGGAATTTTTTAGAATTTTACCAGAATAACTTGGAACTCCGAGAGAATTACGTGGAATTTCCGGAAAATAGATGGAATTTCATTGTAATTTTTTCGAAATTCCACATAATTTTACCGGAATTTCACTGAACTTCCAAATAATTTCACAAAAATTATTTAAAATTTCACGAGAATTTCATATTATTTTTACAGGAATTTTCTAGAATTCTAAATTAATGGAATTTCATCGGAATTCCACATAATTCCACTAAAATCCCAAATAATTTCACAAGATTTTTGATATTTGAGTAAGTTGTTAGTAGCTTATTACTTATTACTTACTTATTTCAAATTTCAATAATTATGATTATTTGATTAATAAAAATTTGCCTGAATTTTGAAGTATAAGCTAAAATTCAGCGTAACCGTAACGATGGTGTCAAGGTCTCTGAAATGTACTGGAAAAATTCTTGTTTTAGTAAATAAAAAAAAAAAATAAAAAAATTGTACACCAGAATTCTTCGTAATTCCTTAAGAATTCTCTGGACTTCTACTAAAAATCCATGTGATTGAAATTTTCTGTAATTGCAAGAAATTTCACAGGAATTCCTCGTAAATTCTCTGGAATTTTAGATAATATCATATTTTTTTTTGGAATTTCCCGAGAATAATTTAAAATTTTGGACAAATCACTTGGAACTCCAGGAAAATTATTGGAATTTCATCGGTATTTCATAATTTTACCGGAATTCCACAAAAATTCCACATATTTTTGTTTGGAGTTCTACGTCGTATCCCTGGAATTTTAATAAATTTTACGGGAATTTTATTTAATTGCACAAAATTTTTATGAAAATCCGCATAATTTTCACGTAACTCCGCATAATTTCAGTAGTTTGCATAGTTTTTATAGAATATTGCATATTTTCTATAGAATTCCGCAGAAATTCTTTGGACTTTTGCATAGTTTCTATGAAATTTCGCATAATTTTTATGGAATTCCATACAACTTAAAGCCATAAAAATTTTATGGGATTTTGATTTTTTTGAAACTCAATGCTTTTTTTGGAATTCTACGTCGTTTTCCATTTAATTCCACTGGAATTTCGCATAATTTTATTGGGATTTGGCATATTTTCAATGAAATTCTGCATACTTTGTATAAAATTAGGCATCATTTCCATGGTATTCAGCATAATTTCAATGAAATTCCTTATAGTTTCTACAGGATTTCGCATAATTTTTATGGAATTTTGCACATTTTTTATGGAATTCCACATAATTTCTATGAGTTTTTATGTAATTTAATTTAAACAACGATTTTTTTGGAATTCTACGCCATGTAATTTTTTTTAAATTAGGTGTTTTTTTTTCCTATGGAATTCAGCATAATTTCAATAAAATTTTGCATATTTTTTACGGAATTTCATTTAATTCCATTTAATTTTACTGAAATTTCGCATAATTTCCATACAATGGGGATATTTAGTGTTTTTTTTTTAATTTATTTTTCTAATTCTAGAACACAAACTAAGTCTAATAGCACTATTTTGGGAAACATTTGAGTTGTCGTTAATTTTTAATAAAAAATATAAATTCAGCAGCATTTCAAACGCCGCAGAAAACCCGCCGAATATGACGTCAGTCCCTACAACTAGCAAAAATATACTGCAAATAAGTACGTTGTCAGATTGTCGTTGTCATTGTTGATTTCCAAAACCTCGTTTTTATCCTTGCCTTATATAGTCTTTTGGTGTATATTTTGGACTACACTTATAAAATTAATGTAATTTTTTAATTGTTAGTGGATTTAGTTACAGAACAACAGTTGTTCTAGTGTTGAAAAAGGATGTATGGCACGTCATGTTAGTATTGAGGAATCACGACACTCAGTTTGGCAACAGTGCACTGTCTAACTGTCAAGAGGTTATGTTGACCAGCGTTAAACGAACAAGATGCAAATAACGAATGAGGAGTTTCATCATTGTCACTCTTCAGAGCTTAGACAAGGAAAGCATATAAGATGTGCGCCATAGCTATTGTGAACGATTCTTATTGGTCGGAAAGTGTATTTACGTCATACATTGGCGCCATTCCAGCACGTTTAAATTTGTGGGATGATTTTTGAAAATTATTTTAAACAAAATTAGGACATTTTAAACCCAACTGGAAGCAAGGGTATTTTTATTTTGGTTAATACAACTGATTAAAAATAATAAAGCAATGAAATTCAAATATGGTGAATGTCCCCATTTTGTAAAATTTCTATTTATTATTTTTTCTTCGGAATTCCACGTCATTACTCCTTTAATTTCACTTGAATTGCGAATGATTTTGATGAAATTAAGTATACATATTTGAAATTCTATGTGATTTCAATGGAATCCCACGTAAATTTTAGGGAATTTGGCATAATGTTTATGGAATTCCGCATATTTTCTATGTAATTTTGCTAAAATTTACCATTTTTTTTTTTTTTTTGAAATTTGTTGTCATTTCTCAGATATTTTATTGAACTTAAATGGAATTCCATGTCATACCTGGAAATTCCAAAAGAAATAACAATATATTTTCGCATAATTTCTATCAAATTTTACATAATTCCAATATAATTTCGCATAATTTCTTCAACATTTCTTATAATTTAAATGGAATTCTGCTTAAATTGCCCATATCTTTGTTAAATTTCGAGCAAATTGAAATAACTTATATATCATTGGAAGGAGCATTAAATTCTCATTAAATCCGTGCAAAATTGGGTTTGATAGCTCAGACAATTCTTGAGCAATTGAAGCTCAAAGTTGACTTCTAGTCCAAATTTTTTCAAAAACTTCAAACTCAATTTGCTCAAAAACTATAAATCTGAAAATATTGTTAATTACATGCCATTTAGAGATCAATAAGAGCTAATAATGCTAAAAATTTCAATGCAATTTGCTCGACGGTTACCCGGCAATTGCGGTATGAATATTTTAAAATCAGAATTCAAGAAAACTCGATTTTTTTATTTTTCGGTTTTGCTCAATTTTGACTTTACCAATCGATAAAGCGGGTCAGAATTAGTGGAAAACAACCCTGACATCAATTCCAAATGTTCATTTCAAGCAGGAACAAAAAGCAAAAGAAAGTCCTATTTTTGGCTCTGGAAAATTTTCAAAATCGTGACTTAATCATGAATAATTGTCCATATCTTTGTTAAATTTCCAATAAATTGGAATAAATTATGTACCATTAGAGAAAGAGCATTATTCTCTATAAATCTGTGCAAAATTGAGATCGATAGCTCATATAGTTTTTGATTCTCAAAGTTGACTTTTAGTCCAAATTTTGTCAAATACTTCAAACTCAATTTGCTCAAAAACTATAAATCTGGGAATATTCTAAATTACAGGCCATTTAGAGCCTAATAAGAGCTACAAATGCTGAAAATTTCAATGTAATTTGCTCAACGGTTATTGAGCAATCGAGATTTAAAGATTTTGAAATCAGAATTCAAAGGGGGTACCCTTACGAAAACTCGATTTTTTGAAGTGAAACTTCTCAGGCGGCGGTCTGACATTTGGACGAGAATGGAGAGTGATCTGAAAGACGCGGAGGAGGGACGGAGAGAGACAGCCAATGACAATGACAGCCGACGAACGATTGACGTACAAACCAAAGATTATAAACTATTATTGTCAAGCGCCGATACCTTTGTGACGTCCCTACAGATGCACGTTTCATTTTTGTGTGGTCCTTCCTTCGTCTCTACTAAGGTCTTCATACGTTAAAATTTTGTACTTTAGATGGGAGTTGGGAGGCGGCGAAAATTGTCTTGGCACACAGGCAGCTAACACAGGCCCTGGAAATTATAAAGTTCACAACAATCATAAAGTTATCAATATTGGAAAAAAATATCACAGCGATGGCTAATCTGAACTAGCAATAATTGAAAGCAGATTCTAATTTTTAACTTCCAGAAGCGGAATTCTGTAACGGATAGAAATCGTTATTTTTATCGCTATGGCGTTGTCTTTTTCTCTCTTTTCGAAATTAATAGAGAGGGGATGTCAATAGAGATAGCGAAAATTATCTCTATTCGTTACAGAATCTCAGCCCAGCTGCTCTTTGCAGTTTCCAAAAGTTGTAGGTCATTTTCTTTGAGATTCAATTAGCACAATTTTTTTAAGTTTGAAGGTGATTTTTTAAATATTTATGAAAGCTTCTTGTTTTTTTTTTACGACATATTATCATTTGTGTATTAGGACCAAAGTCCAGGGCTTTTTGATTTTAAGTGTATGGTCAGATAAATCTAAAAACTTCAGGTGTAACTTTCTAACTGTGGATTGACATCCCACTGCAATAGTTTTTCTGGGAGAGTTTCAACCAATGATATCATAACTATTTTTTAGATTGTTGGTTGCAGCATATGTCGGCCAAACCGCCGATGGTAACAGGCTGAAGCTGCGACAAACTACTTTGCTGCCAAATGTGGCCGGTTTTCCTATGTTGTTGGCTGCCATATTTTGTCCTACAATGGAACCAAAGCTTACAGGTAAGATTTGCTTAGTACAACTATATGCAAATCAATTGACAGAAATATATTTTTTTTTTGGAAATCAGGTATCTGTTATTAATTATTAATTTATTTTCTTTTAGCGGACAAATCTTTAGTAGCCTCCATTTTATGTGGTCTTGGCTACAACCGCGTAACTAATAAACCCTTGTACCCTGCTCATGATATAGTTTTAGACTTGGACACAGTATTGAAAATTGAGGAGCTAGAAAAGGTATGTATAGCATCGAGAATACATCACAACAATATATCTTATCTATTCAATTTCAGATTAATCGTCTACGATATTTGATGAATACAGGCATTAAAACTATGCATGCAATAGAGCAGGAGCGCGCCACTCAAACGGAGCTGTTCAAGCTTCAATCTCAAATTAAAGAAGCTATTTTAAGGTAAGATTTTTCTGCTGGCATTCATTTTTAAATATGTTTTTGTTTTTATCACTAAAAGATAAATTGACAAAAGTTGCAAAGTTAGCGCCGTAATTTTTTTTTTTTTTTTTAAATCCATAGTTCAGTTACTTTTTTTAGGATTGAATATATTTTATTTTGATTTTGAGTGTGATGTTTGCCACCTTACATGTAATCACCTCCACGATGTTCGTGAAGTATATCTACAAAAAAAATCTCACAGGTCACAATGGACCAACTTTGCTCTGGAGTACTGCACAATTCCTAATTGATGAAATTTCATCAAAAAATATTCAGGTCACCCAAGACAAATAATTCGGAATTACTTCTGTTAGCGATTCGCCTTTCTATTTTTTTTATAAAAGTTTTCATTTACCTATAACATTTGAACTATTTGGAACAATATAGTAATACTACAAAGACCGATTAGTTTCTAATTTAATTTGAATTCACAATGCTTCCTGATCATCGCCGCTTTTACTAACTTAGTGCGGTTGTACACCAATGAAACATCAAACATGCAACGTGCGACATGAAGTAAATACAGCGGATAGACTTGCTGCATATATCCATTGTAAAAACGTTCAATGTCTCAGGATCATCGCTCACCGGTGCAGCAAACGCGTGTGCTGCACCGGTGTGCGATACAAGTCTACCCGCGGTATTTACTTCACGTCACACATTGCATGTTTGATGTTTCATTGGTGTAAGACCGCACTTACAGCTGTATGCAACATCCTCTTTTAACTTAAAAGCGCTTTTTCAAACTGGTCACTTTTAAAAATATCTATTCTAAGCCATACAAATTTTTAAAGGTACAGTGGGAATCATTGGAATTGGCACACACTATATAAATATCCCTCGTAATGTGTCAAATCTGACACACCAGTAATAGCAAAATGCTGCACTAAATATCGAAAACTATCGACCGATATCGATATTATCCGTATTTTCAAAAATATTTGAAAAGGTACTACACAGTAGAATAACCCACTTCTTGGAAAGTTTTGAAATCTTGGATGCATCGCAACATGGATTTAGATCTGGAAGATCGACGGAAACTGCTGCGTACGAGTTTGTTGAGTACATCCACGCACAACTAGAACAAAACAGAATCGTAATTGGATTGTTTTTTGACCTGTCCAGAGCATTTGACTCTCTGGACTTGGCTTTTGTCAGGTTAAAATTGGAATCCATTGGAATTCGAGGCAAAGCACTCTCTTTGATAATGTCCTTCCTATCAGTGGCTGGATCCTCGGGCCAGGGAGTAGAGCTCCCCGATAGAATGAATATTTTGTCCTTGTCAACGTTATCGAAAAGTGAACAAGAATGATAGACGAAAAATTTGTTCTCTCGGGGAGCTCTACTCCCTGGCCCGAGGATCGGCCTACAGAGCGAAAAATACAGGTGAGACTGGGAGAAGATCTGTCAGACACTCACTCTGTTAATATTGGAGCACCCCAGGGCTCAGTGCTGGCGCCACTGATCTTTCTGCTCTTCATCAATGACCTAAAACTGCCTGGCCTTACAATTAAGTTTGCGGATGATACAACTGCAGCTATATCGGCTGATAACCAAAAAGAAGCAATGAAGAAGTTGGATGAAATTTGTGACCATATGAGTTCCTGGTGTTTTAGAAATAAGTTTATTCTCAACAGCTCAAAAACAGTAACCATACATTTTTATAAATCCAAACCGAAAATTGAGCTCAAGGAAACCGAAAAAGCTGTGAAATTTCTAGGAATTTATCTTGACAAACAACTTCAATGGCACACCCAAGTGGATCATGTATGCTCCAAACTCAATTCCGCCTATTTTGCCCTACTCAAGCTTAGACAAGTCGTCGAAAGACACGCGCTATTGTCAGCTTACTATGCCCTAGCATACCATCACATGTCTTATAATATAATTCTATGGGGACAAGCTGTTGGTGTGGGTAGAGTATTCATCATCCAAAAGCGGATAGTAAGGTTAATATATGGCCTTAAACCACAGGAAAGCTGCAGTCCAACCTTCAAAGACCAGAAACTACTTACTCTTCCGTCCATCTATATATATAAGTTTGCGGTATATGTATATAAAAACAAAGATAGATTTCTAAAAAATGGAGAAAATCATCTATATTCTACCAGGAGAAGCAATGAGCCTTTCACGACATAGCACTGCATTATTTGAGAAGTCTCCTCAATATAGGGATAACCCAGCAGAAATGTGGAAAACTTTAAAAAGTTTAGTAAGTGGAAATAACGGGGATGTTTCCAATGCTATATGTTTTGAAATCGATGGTCAAACTAAAATATTAAGAGATAGTAATGAGATCGCTGATTCCTTTAATAAATATTTTATAAGTAGTATAATAGACGTTGTTGCAAGTATTCCAGTATTGCAATGTTGTAATTAAGGACTTCCGGGCTGTTAATAAGGCACACACGACACTACTTTCAACGAAATATATTCTCAGTGAATTAACACGTCTGATAACTTTTTACAATTCTGACTAACTTTTTTGACTGACAGTTTTGTCAACTAATAATAATTTTATTGATAGACTGTCAAACCAATAACACGCCCCCTCAATATAGCTATTTATACAATAAGTTATGAAATGAGCGTCTTTTAGGCACGCGACGTGAAAATTGTCCAACGAGGCAAAGCCGAGTTGGACAACACGTCGAGTGACTAAAAGACATCGTTTCGTAACGTATTGTATACAAGATTTTTTCTACTGGCATTTTATAATAAAAAAACACAATTTTATTTCATGTGAATAAGTCGATTACACCCAAAATCTTTGTTACCTGCTTTTACTTGACACCTGACACTTTTCATGCGATTTTCTTTTCAAAATTCGACATCAATAATTAAAATCCTAGAAAGTAGGTAATGACACAAACTTCTGTTTTGAGTAACCCAAACGTTCAATTCAGTAATTCCATTTTCAATATCCATAATAAATACAAAACAAAATTCAAATATGTGTTTAGTGTGTTTTTTATTTCTGAATAATGAATGACACTTTTAGGCACTAGTGCTTAAAAATTACTTTTACGCACTCATAAGTCACTTTTACGCATTCAAAAGTCACTTTTACGCACTGAGTGCCTAAAAGTAACTTTCACGCACTCAGTGCCTAAAAGAATGTCGTTTCAAAACTGAAATGACAATCGAAAAGTTGCTATTATGAAACGTCAGTAGAAAAAAATTATTTTACAATTAAAATAGGTACTATTTCCTATTCATTCAACTAAACCTAAAGCTAACCTGAATTTGTTAAATTTAGTTCGAGCCAAAGACTTTGTGAACAGATCTGCTAATTGATCCTCACTTTTGATATAAACCACGTTCACAATACCCTCGTCGATTTTCTCTTTTATGAAATAAAATTTCACATCAATATGTTTTACACGCTTATTATTTTCTGGATTGTTGCCTATACATATTGCTGATCTGTTATCCTCAAAAATATTAATAGGTTTATCCATACCAAAATCAAAATCAATCAGTAATTTTCTTAGCCAGCAAGCCTCTGTTATTGTTAAACTCAAAGCAACATACTCAGATTCGGTTGATGATATCGCAACTGTCTGTTGTATTTTACTAGACCACGCGATTGTGCATCCGAACATCTTAAACACATAACCGGTTGTTGATTTTCGATCTACGGTATCTCCACCCCAATCTGAGTCAACATATCCAACTAGTAATTCTTTTTCATTTGTATTAAACATAAGTTTCAAGTTTAAAGTTCCTTGTACATACCGTAATAATCTCTTCAATGCTTTATACAAATTTTCAGTACCTTTGTCCTGAAATCGACTTAATAAACAAACACTTTCACGCAAATCAGGTCTTGACCCTAATAGGCCAGTCATTTAAGCTAAATTCTGCAAAAAAATTGCGAAGTTAAATTTTATTTGATGAAAATGTCGAAAAAGCTTTAAAAAGGAATTATTTGAATTTTGCACACAAAGTTTCGGCCAGGAATATTATTAAATAAATTAAAAATAGTTTTTTTGCACTAACTCCGCGGAAAAAATTGCGAAATTTGTGCAAATCATGAGAAACCATTCTAGAATTGTTTATAAAAGTTCTATCAAGTTTGCACACGAATGTGGTGACGGGAACATTATAAACAATTGTTTATAAACTTCAAAGTGGAATAAAGTATATAACAAAAATTGCGAAATTTGTGCAAATAGTTGTTTATATGCCTTGATATGATCCCATATTTGTTTGCCAACTATTTAAATTAAAAATAGTATTTATATATTTGTATAAATTTTATGTATTTTATTTAAATATAAATTTAAATAAAAAAAATTTTTGCACACATTATTTTTGACTGGAACATTTTGTTTTATATATTTTTTACCAATCGTCTCCAATTTTGGCCGAAATTGAGACAATTTTTATGAAAAATAATTACGAAAGTTGTATAATGTGTGTGCAAATGTTTGGAATACGGATACATATCCTAATCTGAATTTGCACAATCCAAAGCGACCGGGAACTTGTTTAAATCAGGGATTGTTTAAATAATAAAAATTATAACATGCGAAAAAATTCCGAAATTAATGCAAATTTGAATTATTGCTAGAACGAATCATTCAGATACTTCTTTTCATTTGCACACTCCAAAGCGACCGGGAAGTTGTTGAAATCAGGGATTGTTTAAATAATAAAAATTATAATATGCGAAAAAATTCCGAAATTATTGCAAATTTAAAATATTGTTAGAACAAGTCATGCAGACACTTGCTTACATTTGCACACTCTAAAGTGACCAGGAACTTGTTGGAATTAGGGATTGTTTAAATAATAAAAATTATAACATGCGAAAAAATTCCGAAATTAATGCAAATTTGAATTATTGCTAGAACGAATCATTCAGATACTTCTTTTCATTTGCACACTCCAAAGTGACCAGGAACTTGTTTGAAATCAGGGATTGTTTAAATAATAAAAATTATAACATGCGAAAA